AGTGTGGAATTAGCACAAATAAATCATGATCACTTTAGTTAGATTTTCTGCAGAACAAAAAGAGCTGTGTTTTCACTGGCTGCCCCTCAAACTCAGAAAGCAGCTTTTCTTCTTAATTTTTTTTTTCATGTCTCTAACCGCAAAACTGAGGGGAACACAAAACATTGGGAAGGCCTGCTTGAAGATGAACCTTTGAATGGAATAATGGCAGCGTCTGGCTGTTTTTCTGCCCTTGTCCTTTTCGTCAAATGTGTTTCACTTTGATGTAAAGTGGTTTTGCTTTCACTGAGACGACTCTGAAATCTGTCTGTCAGTATTTGGCTGCAATCTTGGAGATAATAGCTGGGGTCTGCTGGGTGCTTCGCAACACCAATCGCAGCCAGGCTTCTCCAACTGGGAAAGAAAATGGTGCTTTTTGTGTGTTTTTTTATGCCTGACAAAAAGTGCAATGTCAGGCTATTTATAAAAAAACTTTTCTCAGTGTGTAAGGACCTGACTCTGAAACATTATGAACGTAGGGAGTTTAACAAATAAATTGAGTGCAGATTAATTAAGAGATACAGAAAACAATCTGTTTGTTAATATTTGCACACTACCTATCAATATTTTGAAATAATTGTTTAAAATGTACAAAATTTAAATAAATATACTGAAATAAATATATCTACTTCAGATATACAGGTAGTCAACATTTGAAGTGGATCAAAACCTTTTATCAAAGTTGTTGTAAAATTATTAAACAACACCTAGTTTGATCTTTTTTTTAAAACCCAATTTAAATGTTGACAACATGTCTATACATTTTTTGTCCTATTTTTAGTCCAAATATCTTCAAGTAATCAGGAAGCATTTTCTAGACAAGCAAAAAATAATGTCTTGTTTTAGAAATTATATATATATATATGTACGTGCTATACAGTATGTGTGTGTCCGCTGTGTGTGTGTCTGTGCATGAACTTTGTAACAACATTGTGTGTGACTCATTGTTGCAACTCCACTACAAATACATCAAATAATCATTGGGAAAGTTCTCACTGCATGTAGTATTTCTCACAGTTATGTGAGATCTGCTTCCTTCATCTTTGTCACTGTGCTGTTTATCTGACGTAGCCTAATTGGAGATTGAGGCCCTCTCTGATAGACATGTGGGAACGTTGGGTGGGGAGAACCAGAATTAAAAGCACAGGTAACAAAAACAGCTACATTGTGTTCAGAGTAAAAAATCCCAATATTCTGAAAGGTATAATAAACAATCTAATGGGTGTTTTGAGCTGAATCTTTTTTAGACACATTCTGAAGACACAAAATACTTATCTTGAATTTTGAAAAAGGGGTAAAATAGGTGTCATTTAAAGCAAGCAAAATAATCTAATGTCAAAAAGAAAAACATAATTATTTTTACCATCTGAAATTTTGGTCAGATAGTTTGTCCTTGGGAAAGGGTTGATGTGCCAGTAAAGCATCATGTGCAGTGGGTGTTGGCCTGTGGTAGTGGGTGTGGATGTAAAGGCAGTGTTTGCTGTCTCTCAAGACCATCAGCCAACTCTGTGACCACACATAACCCACACTGGCCATGATCTGTGTCTGTGGAGCCCCTTTGGCAAAACAAAAAACAAAAAATGAGCTACTCCATTTTATAGGGAAGCAGACTTTTAAGGAGAGCTGGATCACCAACAACTCACCAACTTGAAACTAGGGTTTAACAGCTGGTTCCTGCTTGCTTAATCACTGCCAAAGGTGTTTTTACTGAGTTTTGCGCACGTTGCTATGCTAGTACTTGTTTTGTTGTTAATTAATTAATTAGTTAGTTCTTAAGCTCATAGATTTTATTAATAATATATTTAATTTAAAAGAAATTTATTTTATGATGGCTGAATTATTTGTAGTATTTTACATTTTAATCAAATTTGATAACATTTAATAATATTAATAATATTTATAATAAACTTTATTTTTATATATCACGTTTAAAAGTAGCATCTCAAGGCACTTGACAGACATAAAATGTGCAGCAGTTAAAGACACAACGATAAGTCATCACAGTTTTGGATTTTTCAATAGTTTTAGTTTTTATTTAGTTTTGACTTTATGTTTTCAAATTCAGTTTGTTTTAAAAAGTTTTTAGAGGTAGATCTACTAGTTTTTATTAGTTTCTATTTGTAGAAATTGCTTAATTTTAGTTTTTATTAGTTTTAGGGTTACTTTGTTCTAAATAAAGATATGTGCAAGAATCAAAATCATGAAAAAAAAACAAAACTCCAAGCCAAAGATACATTTTTTGACACATCTATCACTATCTACCCATCCTCAAATTAAAATACAACAGCCCACAAGATAGCAGGCCTAAGTAGGCTAAAATATGTGTGCAAGGGTGCTTCTAGGGGTAGGACTCAACATACCAAAAATATGTAGTCAGTAATCATAATTTCACTCAGTTAAAACATCACCCTGATCTAAAGGTTTCTTACAATTAAGTGTGACAGCTCAACTCAAGCTTATTTAAATTTTATCATGATTTTCTGTTAAGAAATAAACTTACATTTCGCCAGATCATCGTTTGAGCCCTCGGTTTACCTGTGCTGCAGCTGTTCAGTCACAACCATCTGTTCGGTTCACCTGCTGAATTACGCATGTTTGCAGTATTATCAATTCACAGGTTCTCAAATCAAAACTGCGTGTACTGTTCTAATATCTGAATAACTTTATTTTGAGTGAGAAGGCGTATCAGGCATGTTAAAGTAAGTAGTTTGTGGATTAATGCTTACTGGAATCGTTTCAAATGATTCAGTTCGATTTAGTGAACTAGTTCAACCGGTTCATTTAGAAGATCCGGTTAAAAAGAATGATTTGTTCGCGATCAAGATCACTAATACGGAAATAAAACCCATTCTTGTGCAAAAATGTGTTCAATTAATACTTTTAAGTCACTGCTCGGGTCGTATTAATTTTGTCACTGCCCTGCTTTTATTTCCAGCCGTTGTTTTTGTCGTGGGAGCAACAGCAAGGACTGACTGGAGGAGAACCAGCTTGATCTGGCCAATGGCAGCAGGTTTACAGACTCTGAGGAGCCATTCGGGTCAAACATCTGACAGCATGAAGGAAGTATTTACTGCTAAAAGGCATACGCTTATATTACTGTAAATACATTTACAAAGACAAAAAATACATTTTTGCTCTAATTTTAGTTTAGCTTTGCATGTTCACAACACAGTTTCAGTTTCAAGTTTTTTTTTTTACTCGTTTTATTTTTATTTTAACGAAAAATTCAGACATTCATGACTGACACAGGAATGATAAAAAATAATTAAATATGTTTCTTTCTTTTCTTTCTTTCTTTTTTGGATAAAGACATATTTCTAATTTTTCATAAGGGAGAGCAGAAAAGTGTTTGACATGTATTTGTTTTCTATACTTAATTCAATGACTTTTATTAAAATATAAAGAGCAATAATCATCAACAAAGAATCATTAAAAAACAGCAACAAAACATAATTACTTTTGAAAACTATGTATTGTTAATGGTAACAATTTATAGTATTCTGACTGACTGAAGTAACTACAGTGAGGTATTTGACATAAAAGGCAACACAAATCAAAATAATAAAGAAATTATTAATTAGTAATTAACACTAGAACTACAGAAGCAGTCATTTTGACCATTTTAAAATTCTCTAATTTAATAACTGTTCAAATAAAACATGTGAAAATAAACTTGATTTTTCCTTTATCTGCGGATATTTATTTCTTACTTACAGTCAAGTGCAAAATTATTCATATCCCATGCCTTGACTTTTTTTTTTTTAATAATAAAAGACAAACCGCAAAAGAGTTCTGAGAATTTCTACGTTGAATGGTCATTACGGTCAAACTGACCGTGCACATTTCAGCATTAGCTACTTTTTCCTGTGCCTTTGAATATGCATTCATCTGTTACCTAGCAACCTAGCAACTTTTTGCTCCCTAAAACATAACTTTCTTATACAGCAAAAACATAACTTTACTTCAGACATGGCTTTCAAACCTTCAAAAACAGCATTTTCACTGCAATGAAAAACTCCTCTCCAGCTTGTAAGACAGTGCATTATGCACATTTGGTGGCAGTCTATTAACTAATGCAAAATTAGCTGTATTACAAAACAAAAATCTTATTTTAATTCTTAATCAGGCATTTAAAACTTAATTATAAAACTTCAACAGAAGCTTCAAATGTAAACACAATGTGACAAATTATTTGGTACAGTCTTAAATATGAACATAATCATTAATACAAAAACGTTTATGCTAGTATTGGCACTTTTCTTATATTTAGAAATAACAGAATGTTATTGCAGCGTCAGAAATAAATTTGCTTACATCCTCAAAAATAACTTCCTGTTTTGAAATGAAATGAATGTCATAGCAAATTTTCATTTTTGTGTGCACCGCACCTTTATTAAATTTTTTAAGGTTAACATGGAAATATGAAATGATTTTTAATGAACATAACTTTGTGCTTAGCAAAAAAACCTAATAAACTGGAACAAACGTAATTGATTTATAAAACCAAACACTGTTAAACACCCAAAATGATTTCACAGTCAGGGTAAATGTCAGAATGACTAGCTTCACAGTAAAATATAGTATTCTACACGATAAAACCATCAAATCGAAGTAATGGACTTTACTACTTACTGTGAAGTTACACAATATGGCTTTCATTTCACAGTAATTTAATGTAATAAAATCACAATAAATTATAAAAATTATCTATCATCTATCTATCTATCTATCTATCTATCTATCTATCTATCTATCTATCTATCTATCTATCTATCTATCTATCTATCTATCTATCTATCTATCTATCTATCTATCTATCTATCTATCTATCTATCTATCTATCTATCTATCTATCTATCTTTAGATTAAAAACTGAAACACATCTCAATATAACTACATTAGCACAAACACATTTCGTCTCCCTCCCACCCTTTATGATTGCCATCAAATAGAATGTGTGCACATACACATGTAAAACCATTGTGCATAAACCTTAATTTATTTATTTATTTTTTTAAATCATCCATCTCAACCAAACGCTAATCCGTGTCATAACTGCAGCAGTGTGAGACGGTGGCGGTGTGCTTTTCCTCTGCAGGCTGTGTGTTGCGTTATCAGGCAGAAGGTGTAAAGGGGAGTGCCTGCTCTCCCTCTCCCCAGCTCTGCCTCCTCAGGAGTGGAAAGCAATGATGTAATGTGCCTGGCCGCCTCAGAATGAGCAGCCCCCCTCTGCTGCGCTTCATTCCCCCTTTCTCTCTCTCTTTCTCTCTCTATCTCGCAGTCTCCCTCCCATCCTCTTCCACCGCCGCTGCTTCTGCTGGTGTTGGTTGGTGGCTGGCGTTTGTGAGCTGCAGCCCTGGGCATCTCTGGGGATCCCTGCAGAGCTACTGTTCCTCTTCTCCCTGTGACGGCTGGGGCTCGCCGGCTCGCGGAAAAGACCCTCTCTGTCTCGTCGGACGAGGTAATTTCTCTCCAAGCTGACAAATGGCATGTGTTGCAGCTTTTAGAAGAAAGCAAGCGAGGCAAGGCTTTTGGGTGCAAGGTTTTTGGTGGACTGCTGAATGAAAAGGTCTGTGTTCTGAAAGGCTGCTGTCACCGCAGTATTGTGGATTGAACAGATTGAATTGGGTTTACCGCTGTCAGATCTCTCGCCTCTCTCTAATGCATGTGCTGATTCCTCTAGTAAGGTGTTGGTTACCGTGGTTAGTAGAGGATGGATTCCTGTGCTGGGTCAGCATTTCACCTGGACTGCAGGTTTAAAAAAAAAAAAAAGGAATCATGCATTTTTATTGTGACTTGGAAATAAGGATGTCTTGTATTATTGTGGAGGTTTGAGGGAAAAGGTGAACTTGCGAGAGAGATTTGTTTGTGCAGGGTCCTATTAGTTTGTCCACTAAGACTTATTAATTATGCTGAGCTCATGTGGGAAATATGTTGCTGTCTAGCATGAATGTGACGTGCAGATTGATTTTCTTGCATATTTATGCATGAGGGACTGGGTGTGTGCGTGGACAATGCTCCATACTACGGACAGGGTAAGCCCCTCTTGCAGCTCTGGTGTGTATGTGTGTGTGCTTTTTTCAAAATTTGCTGAAACAGAATTTATGATTTATTTATTACATAAATGTCATCTCTTTTTGATGTTATCCTGCAGTTGTATGAAGTATCTAATGGCATTTGTCATTGTATATAACTATATAAGGATTAGTTTATATACATGTATTGCTTATTTGGTCATTTTATTTAAAATTTACACACATATTGTTGCTGAAATAAAATAAAAGACCTCTTTAAAAATGTGCTGTTTCTCTGGATTTACAAGTTATATTTCTGCGTTTGGGCTGCACAGTGATGCAGTGGGTAGCACGTTTGCTCACATCGGGAAGGTCACTGTTTTGAGCCTTGGCTGGGTCAGTTGGCGTTTCTGTGTGGAGTTTGCATGTTCTCCCCATGTTCGTGTGGGTTTCCTCTGGGTGCTCCGGTTTCCCTCACAAGTCCAAAGACATGCACCATAGGTGAATTGGGTAGGCTAAATTGTCCGTAGTGTATGTGTGTGAATGAGTGTGTGTGGATGTTTCCCAGTCATAAGTTGCAGCTGGAAGCGAATCTGCTGCGTTAAACATATGCTTGATAAGTTGGGTGTTCATTCCGCTGTGGTGATTCCAGATTAATAAAGGGATTAAGCCGAAAAGAAAATGAATGAATTTATGCGTTTGTCTAAAATCAAAGTATAATTTTATTCTAAAAGCTACTGATGCCATTTCTTCCAAGTTTGAAATAAAATTGCTGTCATTTAAACACGTTTATTTGCATGAAATAATTAAAAGTGACATATTTTCACAAATGTGTAAGTTCATTTTTAGATAACATTACTCCAAATGTTTAGAAGGGTTAAGAACTAAAAAAAAGTAAAATAAAATAAAAATAAAAAAGTTAAATTAAAGTTTAGTAAAATAACTCAGATTTTAGTAAAATAACTCAGACTCAGAGCAGCTGCTATTCTGGCCAGCTGTTATTTATAAAAGTAACATGCCAGACCTTAAGAGAATAAAATACAATTAAAGTCAGAATTATTAGCCCCCTTTGAATTATTATTATTTTTAAATATTTCCCAAATTATATCTAACAGAGGAAGGAAATTTGCACAGTATGTCTGATAATATTTTTTTCAAATAAATAAAACATATAAAGTCTTATTTGTTTTATTTTGGCTAGAATAAAAGCAGTTTTTAATAATAATAAATAAAAATAAAACATTTTAAGGACAAAATTGTTAGCCTTTTAAAGCAATTTTTTATAGAGTACAGAATAACCTAATTAACCCAGTTAAACCTTTAAATGTCACTTTAAGCTGTATAGAAGTGTCCGGAAAAATATCTAGTCAAATATTATTTACTGTCATCATAGCAAAGATAAAATAAATCAGTTATTAGAAATAAGTTGTTAAAACTATTATGTTTAGAAATGTGTTGAAAAATCTTCTCTACAATAAACAGAAACTGGGGAGAAAAAAATTACCAGGGGGCGAATAATTCAAGGGGTCTAATAATTCTGACTTCTACTGTATATAATAACAATATCAATTTTAGTAGAACCTTCATGTAAAATCTTTTACTTTGTCTGTTGAAATTTCTTAATATTTCATGTGTCTGGCCTGCTCCATGCGCATATGCGGTCATGACTAATTTATCCAGAGGATTTTTCCCTGTTATATCAGGAGACGGGAAATACCAGCAGCCTCCATGTCAGTTTTGCATAAATAATTGATTTGCTAAGTTCGAGTAATTACTGCACTGTGTGAATATAAATCTCTTGCATTATAGTAGCAGCTTCTAATCCAGTCTTTCCTAGTCCTAATTTCCCCGTTCAACCTGGTTAATGGTAGATTTCAGATAGATTAACGGTACACGCGTTTTGAAAGTCCTCTGGGGTTTATTAAAGAAACAGCAGGCTAGTCTCAATGTCAGAATTAGATAGTGTAAAGATTTTCTTTTGTGATGAGGATCTGTGAAATCTGCAGACCTGAGAAAAATGGCCCGCTGTGATTGGTGGGATGGGACCATGTGGGCTTGTCTGGGGTCAATTTATGATTTCCCAGCGGGGAGAAGGTTATGTTTACTCAGGATGTGGTTGGCTCCTGCAGCTAGCATGCTTTATCTGTGAGCGGCTGGAATATCTGAGCTTTGCTTCACAATCACATCAATAAATTGATCCAAAAGATGCACACCAACCTGGGACCTCTCTCTTTTAAAAAAAGATAAAGCTCAGATTTTGTCACTCTGTCCAACAAGCAAGACAAGAAAGGGCTGCGGACTGAATGATTCCCTCAGTGATTAGCCCATGTATCATGCGGTAGCCAAAAAGCAGTTTTCTCAGTGAGTGTTTTTATTGATTTCCCTCCTACCAGACGGTGAGCCTGGATTTCAAAAAAAGAAGCTGCTTTCCCCCAGGAAATGTCTAAATTTTATACAGTCGTAATGTTGCACTTGAAGGATTTCGACAGACATTTTGACTCTAAGATGCTTAACGTTCCTTCACGAAGATTCGAATGCCAGGATTTAGCTTGGCAGCAGGTGATTTTAACTGCAAAGAAGTTGCTGGAGATCTTAAAATAGAGCCGTTGGAAAGGGGGTGTCTTCCAGTGAGTTGCATTACAGTAGGATTGTGTGTCCCCTAACGATGAACAAGGTCAGGGAGTCTTTGGAGGAGTGCTGTTTAGTCTGGCTGATGCCACAGCTCATATGGCTCTTCGTGTAACGTTGTTAGCTGAGCAGGCTTGACAGAGGCTTTGTCTTGTTGCAGTATTGTTGCTCTTTCATACATTTACAAGCTAAAAACCAGGACAAAGCCATCTAAAAGGACAGACGTTGTGTGAGTTGTAAATTCCAGGTTTGTGTGTCAGCATTACATTGAGCAATAAATCAGTTCTTTTAATTATAAACCTCAGCACTCTGTTAATAAACTACTTAAATCAGTCTGGGTTGCTTTTACAAAAAGTTCTAAAAACATTTCAGTTACATTTAGATTTAGTCATTTAGCAGACACTTTTATCCAAAGCGGCTTACAAATGAGGACAAGGAAGCAATTTACACAACTATAAGAGCAACAATGAATAAGTGCTATAGGCAAGTTTCAGGTCTGTAAAGTCTAAGAAGGAAAGTATTAGTAATGTGATTTTTTTTTTTTTTTTTTTGAGTACAGTTAGTGGTATATCCAGAGAGGCAATTGCAGATTAGGAAGTGAAGTGGAGACTAAATAGTTGAGTTTTTAGTCGTTTCTTGAAAACAGTGAGTGACTCTGCCGTTCTGATGCAGTTAGGGAGTTCATTCCACCAACTGGGCAGATTGAACGCGAGCGTTCGGGAAAGTGATTTCTTCCCTCTTTGGAATGGAACCACAAGGCGATGTTCATTCACAGAACGTAAGTTTCTGGAGGGTACATAGATCTGCAGAAGTGAGAGCAGATAAGAAGGGGCGCAGCCAGAAATTGCTTTATAAGCAAACATCAGTGCTTTGAATTTGATGCGAGCAGCATCTGGCAGCCAGTGCAAACGGGTGAGTAGCGGAGTGACATGTGCTCTTTTAGGTTCATTAAAGACCACTTGTGCTGCTGCGTTCTGGAGCAGCTGAAGAGGCTTGATAGAGTTAGCAGGGCGCTAGCTTCAAGAAAAAACAGCTCTAAGGTGATGTTTTTCATTTTAAAATGCATGTTTTGTTATGATTAAGCCTGGAGTTAAGCCTCATTCACACTACAAGCGACTCACAGCAACAAAACGTCAAGTGACCGCTCATTTTAATGGAGAGTGAGCGATTCTGGCGACCTCCGTCTACGCGAGCGACAGCATCCGTTGGCGACCGTAGATATTTACATTAGATGTTGCCTACACTGTTGTTGCCTATTGGAAGAAATATGTCAATAGAGATGCCATTTTAGTACAGGGTAGTGCTCCTTTAAAATGAATGTGGGACTAAGGTGCAGTGGTGGACTGGCGATCCGAAGCTATAAATATGTAACATTTATACATATATCTATGATTGGAAGTATTCCCAGTGATCAGTATGCAAGTATTTACTTTTTTAATTACCAAAATTATAATTTTACATTACTTTTTTATAGGTGGGCATGGTTTAATTTATTTAATCAAGATTTATCTTAGAATTAATCTAGATTAATCTAGATTAAAATGGCTCATTTGAATTCTGCCAAAGGCATTCAGAATATGTGTGCTACTCAAATAATAAGTCTTTAAGAAAGGGTTTCTCAAGCCATGTGGCGCATTAGACCAGGGACTCATCTCCTGTTTCCAATATGCCTTACAAACTGCTTGACAAACTGTTCTACTATGATAATTGGTGATTGAAATAAATTATGTTTAATAAGATGTAAGATAAAGATAAGATGTCGTGTCATTGAGAGATCACAACTGTTGTAAGCATTTGTTTGTGAGCAACGGAGGGTATG